GGGGCGGGGGCGGGGATGGAGGGGGGGTGCATGGGGGAGGGGAGCATCCAGGGGCTCCTCCTTCCCGCCCTCCTGGGGGGATCCCCCCTTAAAACCATCGCTATGGCTCTTCTGGGGAGGGGGGTGGGCTGAGACCTGCCGGCAATTCATCGCCCCCCCCCCGTAGCCCCCACTTGCGGGGAGGGGCGGGCTCTGGGGGGCGATGGGAAAGGCGTGCGGCCCCTTTAAATTTACCCAGGAGCCCTTAAAGGAGCCCCAGGGGCCCCACGGCAGCGTCCCCACCCCGGTCGGCCCCCGCCCGCCGCCACCGCCGCCGCCCTGGGCCCCGCCATGGAGCCCCCGGCCCCCCAGCCCGGCCCCGGCCCGCTCCCGAGCCCGGCCGGCCCAGGTGAGCACCGAGACGGCGGGCGGGGAACGGGGGGGTGCGGTGGGACCTCCCCCCCGCCCTTGACGCACAATGGGAGCAGCGCTGGCCCTTTAAGAAGCCCCCCGAGGCCCGGGGGTCCCCAGCCCTTCGCCATCCTCCTGTCATCGGCTGGGATGGCCCTGCCTCTTTAACGGGTTGCTGTCCCTTTAAGATGCCCTGATAGAAATTCGGGTGCCCCTCTCCCTTTAAGATGCCTCCACCCCTTGACATGATCCCTTTCGAACGTCCCCGGGAATTTCGGATGTCCCCGGTCCTTTCACGCGCCCCCATCCGATTCCGAACGTCCCTGCCCCTCTGAGGCATCCCTACCCCTCCAAAGGAGCCCTGTCCCTTTAAGATGTCCACAGGACTTTAGGATGGCCCTGTCCCTTCCGGATGTCCCCAACCCTTTAAGATGTCGCTGTCCCCTGGGGATCAGCCCCTCCCTTCCCACCCCCCCTCATTTAAGGACCCTGCCCCTTTAAGAACCCCCCCGTCTCTCTTAAGCTGTCCTGTGCCCCCCCATTTCTCTGTCCCTTCAAGACCCCCCCAGCCTTGCCCCACCTCTTCCCCCTAACCCTGGGTGTGTCCCCTCCACCCCTGAAATCCCCCCCAAACCCCTTCACCTCCCCCCCGCAGCCCCTTCCCCGCGCCAGAAACCCCCAAAACCCCAGAAGCGGCCCCGGGAGAAAGCCGAGGAGCAGCCCCGGGACTCGCGGGCGTCGCGGCCGGGCCGGAGCCGGGTACCGGGCCGGGACCACCGCCGCTATTACCACGAGCGCTGGCGCTCCGAGTACCTGATGGAGTTCAACGCGGCGCGGCACGGCATGCGCTGCCTGGTGTGCGGCAGCGCCCTGGCCACGCTCAAGCTCAGCACCATCAAGCGCCACATCCGCCAGAAACATCCCTACTCCGGAGCCTGGGGACCCCGCGAGAAGCAGCTGGTGCTGCGCTCCTGGGACGCCCACCTGGGACACCCCCCCCGCCCCGAGGGACCCCCCGGCGGCCGCGGGACAGGTACGGGCTGGGGAGGTGGAGAAAATGGGGTGCGGCTCCTTTAAGAGGAGTGGGGGTCACTTTAAATGTGCCACGCCTCTTTAGGAGCAGCGCTGTCTCTTTAAAAGTGGCCATGCCCCTTTAGAAGCAGCGCTGTCGCTTTAAATGTGGCCACGCCCCTTTAGGGACAGCGCTGTCTCTTTAAATGTGGCCACGCCCCTTTAGTTGAGTCACACCCGTTTAACTTCAGGCCACGCCCTCATTCGGTGCGGTGCTACAATGGCCACGCCCACTTCGGCTTTAACCCCTCCCCTTTCCAGCAAAGCCACGCCCCCTTAAGCTGTTGGCACCTCCCCTTAAAGTGCCACGCCTTTGCTCCAGGCCGCGCCCCCGCTAAGCCCCGCCCCCCACAGGGACACGGTCCCTTTAAGACAGGCCCCACCCAGACCACACCCAGCCCCTCAGCCCCGCCCCTCCCCGTGGCTCCTCCCAGGACCGCAGTGGCAGCCCCAGGTCCCCAAATTGTCCCCAAATTGTCCCCAACCCTCTGTCCCCGACCCCCCCTCGCTGACCGCGCTGTTCCCTCCCCGCAGGGCCCCGTCCCCCGTCCCCAAGGGCCACCAAGGTGTCACCGGGGGCCACCAAGGTGTCACCGGGGGCCACCAAGGTGTCACCGGGGGCCACCAAGGCGTGGCCGGGGGCGGTGGCCGGGGACTCGCTGCGGGGGTGGCTGCGGGCGGAGCTGCTGCTGGACCTGGAGGCCGGGGGCCACCGCCTGCGCTGCCTCCTGTGCTCCTGTCCCCTGCCCTCGCTGCACCTCGGCGACATCCGGCGGCACGCGCTGGCCGCGCACCCCGACACCCTGCGGGGACAGCGGGGACACGGCGGGGACACCCCCGGTGAGCGGGGACATTGGGGACAGGGGGACATTGGGGACACAGTGACACCCGCAGGGACACCCCCGGTGAGCGGGGACATTGGGGACACAGGGGACACAGTGACACCCGCAGGGACACCCCTGGTGAGTGGGGAC